GAAACAGTTTTAAAGGAACGGGTTAATTAGAGCACAGTGAAACTTACGAAACAGTTTTAAAGGAACGGGTTAATTAGAGCACAGTGAAAATCATGCTGAATTTTCCTATCCAATCAACTAGTAGCAGAAGGTATTTGTTTGTATACACTTTTCAATTTACATTGTCGATAAATTCTGAAGCTAGATGTTTTTGAAAGGCCAGCCGACTAAAAATGCGGTCTTTCATTAGGACGTTACTGGTAGACAAACACTCTGTTATTCTTATTTCAAATTCAAAAAGATCCATGCATTGTCCGTTGTTTTGTAGGCTAGTATGTTTTGACATTGATAAGAGACAAGCGATTATCTGATACTTAACATGATTAGTATATTCGGGTAATGAGTGAATTCTATAAATGCATACATGAGTTCTAATAAAATGGCTGGTAAATATGTGTAATCTGAGAGAACTCTACATTCTTGTACTAATTTTGAAAAACGTCATTTTTCGCAATATCAAAACTAATATCGAATTTCTAAAAACAGCCAGTGAGAAAGATACAATCAACATAATATAATTTTCTCATACCTGAAGTTCCTAATCACTGTCATGAAAGTATTGAATAGTTTTATTTGACGTAAAATGTAATTTTTTTTGTTACTTTGAGTACCGTATTTGATGGCATATAGGACGCATGGGTATATAAGACGGCCCCCCATTTCAGCAGGTCAGATTCAGGGAAAAAAGTTTTTAGTGTATTTAAGCATATATTGGTGAAAGTAATCTAACAGCACATTACACAAGCAGAAAACACTTGAACATAAACTAAAACACAGTAAGAAAATGGGGATACACTTTAATATTTACACTCTTATTTCGTAGTTGGAATGCTGTACTGATCGTATGCTAGGATAATGATCGTTAGGAAGAAGATTAGCCTGCGGAAGGTCTCAACATCGCATATTAGACGCAGGGCGATTTTTTTAGCCAAAATTTTGGGAAATAAGTGCGTCCTATATGCCGTCAAATACGGTAGTTACTGGTACTGGTTCATCTTCCAAATTAGAAATATTAGGATTTAGCATGCTGTAAACCTTTGGTGATGAATAATCATATATTGTTTTCCTTGCTGTAAACCTTTGGTGATGAATAATCATATATTGTTTTCCTTGCTGTAAACCTTTGGTGATGAATAATCATATATTGTTTTCCATGCTGTAAACCTTTGGTGATGAATAATCATATATTGTTTTCCATGCTGTAAACCTTTGGTGATGAATAATCATATATTGTTTTCCATCGAAAAGAAAGCGACCAAACGAGCAGCAAGGCTGCCACCATTGAGATGTATGCTCCAAGTAGTTACAATGATACGGTGAACGGAGAAACGTTGAGTTCTACCTCTGAGAAAAGTGAAGCCTACTCCGATGGACCGAGCACGGGAGAATATTCAGTAAGAACTAATAGTATGAACGTGACACGGTTGACATTTATCTCATTCACGAAACTTTCTTTATAAGCACCTTTACGGCCTACTTCTCAACTCTAGAACCTAAGCTACAAGTATGAACGTGACACAGTTGCCATTTAACTCATTCACGAAACTTTCTTTATAAGCACCTTTACGTCCTACTTCTCAGCTCTAGAACCTAAGCTACTTATAAAGAAAGTTTCGTGAATGAGTTAAATGTCAACCGTGTCACGTTCATACTAGCACCTTTACGGCCTACTTCTCAGCTCTAGAACCTAAGCTTCTAGTATGAACGTGACACGGTTGACATTTAACTCATTCATGAAACTTTCTTTATAAGCACCTTTACGGCCTACTTCTCAGCTCTAGAACCTAAGCTACTAGTATGAACGTGACACGGTTGACATTTAACTCATTCACGAAATTTTTTTTAAACACTTTTACGCCCTTCTTCTCAACTCTAAAACCTAAAATTCCTATACTTTAAATCCCTAAAGCTATCACAACTAGTGTACATTAGTCCCGTCAGCATTTGAGACTCAAGTTTTGAATTCATTGTAATTGTAAACTTACAACTGAAGATACGGTATCTCTTTTCTTAGAATATTCTCAAAACTTTAATGTCATGTAGCTCAGTGTTAACTTCTCCTTCTTATTGCAAGTATTTTTATTAATTTTACATAAAAATACTTTTATCGTTATTCAGAACAATAATATTTAGACGATATCGATTAATGGTTCGATCTTCACCAAGTTATATAACTTATTACAAACTGGGTAAATTAAGTCGATCCAAATATTTTTCTAACAATAAAATGTCTTTGTTAGATAAATTCATTGTTGACAGTTTGTAAATACTTCAGGCAGTAAGTTGGATGAAACAATACTTTAATCTTTTTTTTTCCTCTCAAAGGAAGAACATACCAATCCTGTACTTGCCACATATCTGATTGACCAAGACAGAGATTCTTATATGCCTGATGGAACAAACCCTCACTATTCTCCATACAGTCGATATCATCCAGATGGTAAGACATTAAATCTTTAAGTGTTTCATATGGTTTCTAGTATTTCAACAACGTTAAGAAAAATAAACATTTATATTTCATGAAAAGATATACTGTAATATAAATTCAGTGCGCAAAAATCAGTTCAGATTGACTACTTTTATATTGTACGATTTTATTGTATTACCACCATTTTCCGTTATTTTCTCAAAATTAGTATAACAATATTTTGCTCTAATCGCCTTTTTTATAAACGTAAATGAAATAACGACGTATATCTCCATCAATATTTCGGTATTACAGCTTCGTCAGCGAAATATTGAGTTAATAAAGTTACATTCTGGAGATACGTGTGGTTATTTTATTTACGTTTATAAAAATGTTTCTTAATAAACTCTTGTTTGCGTTAAACAAAATTAAGAACAATAGTCTAATCGCCTTTCTTTTTACTAAATGTGTAACAATTTCACTCAACAATATTTAGAGTGTGTATTCGACGTATTTGTATATATATCTAATTCTACGCACGTGACTCTCTAATCTAGACAGACAACCAAAACTGTCAAGACCTCTACATGAAAGTGAGGATGACTTCTATGTCGATGCACTGAGAAGGAACGCTTATAACCAAAAGTTGGGCGAAAAGGTATTGTTCGTGTTATTTTCTTTAAAAGCATGATAACCCGTCTCAAACAGAAAGAGAGTAATTCGACCTTATGACGTTCACAAGGGAGTAATTATTCATTTTGGTTACATGATGTAAAGAAATATTTACCTAATCGTCTGAGGTAAACATGATAACCCAGTTCCAGCCACGGATAATATATGTACACAAAGTAAAGTGAACGCTGGAAATGAAATTATAAAAAGAATACGTGAAGTGCAAATTAAGCACATAAAATATATATAATTAAGTATGCGTTTAAATAAAACTTTCAGTTACGATTGAAATACAAATTACAAGGGGGTGACGTACAGATAGTACGACAATAAAACTTTCAGTTACGATTGAAATACAAATTACAAGGGGGTGACGTACAGATAGTACGACAATAAAATTTCATTAAATATTTTTTTTTTTATCAAACTGTAAACTTTTTTTTTGTATATTAATATTTCTTATTTGTAACAAAAGATAAGTCATTACTCTTATTTCTATAGGTTAGTTATGGAAGAAGTGGCAACATCGCACCTCCACTGCCACCTAACAGAACAACAGCTAGTGGAGGAGAATCGTACAACATTGCTCCTGATGTGCGGTATGTTCCATTCCCTGTTTCTAGAGCTACCGGTAACACACCGATTCTGAGCACCTTTAATCCTCACGTTCCAGGATATAATCCTAGCAACTACCGAGATCAGATCTCTGATGGAATCATAATGGAAGAACAAATGCCTGGTCACTTAGTGTGATGTACGTGGCTCGTGAGAGGTTCGCATCTTGTTCCGATCGGCTGCCGTAAGAAAGAGAACGTGTGATATATATTGAGTACCAACTTTTGTGTCAGTATCTCCTAAACTATTGATACTCAATACTTCGGGTATAAAGTTAAAACGTAAATTTCGTGTAATGATTTTTGGTACTATTTATAGATACGGCTGTGAGAAATGAGTTAAATTATTAAACATTTCTGCAAATATAACAAAAAAAAAGATGTTGTCAATTGTGCGCGAGCATACAGTTTAAGTCAATGAAAAGATCACGTGCTCAGAAACGTCTATCCCGAAATTATTTATGTGTTTGACTGTATAAAACCTGTCACATAACGTCATACCTAGGTAAATGGGTGTGACACTCCACACGTTCGATTCAGTTAGATAAACCTTCCCAGACGACTGTTCTCGTCATAGCAGAAGCTTCATGAATGTGCCTTATCCAGGAGCACTAAGATAAGACGTTAACAGGATCCAAGATGGCTTCGCAAGATGACAGAAAATTAGGTCAAAATGAGTGATTGTATGACATGTTTGGTGCTCTTTCTAAATACCCTTCGTAAGGTTTAACGTCCGCTTGATTTTATTATCATCTTATCTGGAACGATCTGGGTCTAGTTTAAAAATGGTTTACAAATATTTGGTGTGTGTGTGTATTATGTTATTTAAAAAAAGTATAATTTCTTTTATGTATTGTGACGGGACCAACGATTGTCTGCACGAACAAGGTTGCTTTTGAAATGAATGGTTCTTCCCCGGATATGTATAAGAGAAAGTAAAAAAAAAAACTTTTAAATTTCAACTTTTAACAAATTAAAGTATTCAAAGATATGCTTCTCGTTATATACATACATTTAGTTAACTATATAAATATTCATATATATATATATATCCGTACAAAAAAGTGGCATGTACGCTATCCCGTTTAATGAAAAGGCTTGACATGTGTATCTAGTCAATCTATTCCAAAGTCCTTTTTACTTGACTTACGATGAATATAAGTGACTGTTATAAATATAAACCATTCAAACAAAACTTGTATATACCATTATTGTGAGTAACTTCGACGAAACTGCAATAGACGGCCAAAAATAACAACTAACAACCCTTTATTATTTAATTTATAATATTATTGATCGCGCCCCCTTTTGTGTGTAATGTAGATTACTATTATTGTATATTAATACTCAGCTGTTCTCAAGTTGTGAATAAAATTTGTTTTCATGCAACACTGATTTTTGTTATATTTTTTCTTTAAGATTCTGAAGAAATTCACCATTCTTTATTATTATTTATATTCGCATTTTTTTATTTACTGCCGGGGTCCCTAATTTTAAACACTGACCAGAGGATAGCAGCCAATAAGTACCACCCACCGTCCACGCTAAAGGATTGACTGTCACGTATTTACTAACCTTATTTAAAAGAAAAATACAATTTTGAAAAAAATATATTATATAGTTTCAAGCAATATCAGCTAAGATTTTTATATGTTTATTATAGATGAAAAAACTACACCAAACATTTATTTACATGAGTAGGAAGTACACTTACCAGAAAAAGTTTCTAAGTTATCTCCTGCTAAACAGGGACAAGGAAGGTTCAGTTTTCACTAAGGCTAGAATAATAGAATAAGGTTAAAACTTTTTCGTCTTCTTGAAAAATATTTTCTAAAAATTAACCGCAAAGAAACACGTCTTACTCCACCTTTTCCGGATATTTAGAGCGAAAAACTGGATATTAAAACCATCAGATACGATATAATGAGTTTCGAAGGAGTTAAAGCTGTGGGGCTTATCATGTGTAACAAAAAAGTTGTATTATATCGTGGTGTCTGGCATCACATTTGCAACCAACAACCATGTCGTTTCGTGTTATGTTTGCTACAGAACGGACTTCCACACAAGAAATGTAATGGAGGTGCTTTGTTGCAGCTATTTTCGTCAAATTTATTTCTAAGAAAGCGGCAATACGTAACATACTACACTTCAAGCTGCTAAATCTCATTTCTTGAAATGTAGAAGAGATAAAATGTCTTAAAGGCACTACATTTTTAAACACTTTGTGTTTTGTCCAAAGCTGCAGAGACATTTTTAGTGAATATATAAAAATAAAATGCTTTTAGCATAGAAGTGCTGTGTTGTTTTATGCATTTTGAACAAGTGTAGAGACATTTAGAAGCTAACGACAGTGTACATCAGAAACTAGTTTTACTGCATTGCACTACTTTTTTTAATACCTTCTGTAAAGCATATTCTGTTAGAGTTTTTCCCCAAAATAAGTATGTTAAAATTGCATTTGACTCCCTAGGTCAAAGAAAAAGTTGTCTTGCTAGAAATGGAAGCTATAAGCTATTTATAGGTTGTTACAAGACATTAAATTAGTGTCGACCAGCTCTAAGTTTACGATCTTACAACGCTACATATCAGGGCTTGATTCCCCGCGGTAAAAAGAGTGCAGATAACCCATTGTGTAGCCCTTTGCACCTAGAAAACACCAACATTATTTACTACTAAGGATCCACTGTTTTTGGATGTATACGATCGTGAATATTGCAAGCCCCATATATGTCACAGTGAGTACTCGTTCTGTTGTTCTTGTTCGTGGTGTAAGAAGACCAATTACGCTGTAATAGTAAGTTCATCCGATCACCAAGTCTTTTTTTTTTTACTGGTGTAATACTTCTTTTTGATCACGATTCGTGCTGACCGTTTTCAAGATTGTTGTAAAATTGGCGAATCTGTCAAACGATCCTTCTCAATGTTCTTTTAAATCAATGTTAACAATAAAAGTAAAAGCAAAAAAGAATATCAGTTGTAGTTTCAGCAGCTTTTAGCAAGAGGTTTAATTTTTGTGTTGTTCTTCCTTTAATTAGTAGAGCTGATTTACCTTACGTCTTTGGAATTATTTTAACAACAAGTACACATCAGGCCAACTGAAAATGTTTCAGTACACGAAGAAGTTGTTGGTTCATCAGCTTTGTTTGTCTTCCACATAAATAATTTAAATCGGTTTCGCATCATTTACGTGTTGAAGAAATATCAATTCTTAAAACTTATAATTGTATTAATAATTAAAACTAAACAAAATTAACGGTGTAGTCATCTTAAGTTACTAAAACAGTGCGTTTAAGTGTTCAGTGTTACTTTGATAAAATAAATGAAGTAGAACTGAGTTACAGTTTGGAATTTCGCGCAAAGCTACACGAGGGCTATCTTCGCTAGCCGTCCCTAATTTAGCAGTGAAAGACTAAAGGGAAGGCAGCTAGTCAGCACCACCCACCGTCAACTCTTGGGCTACTCTTTTACCAACGAATAGTGGGATTGACCGTCATATTATAACGCCCCCACGGCTGAAAGGGCGAGCATGTTTGGTGGTACTGGGTTTCGAACCCGCGACCATCAGATTGCGAATCGATCGTCCTAATCGCCGGGCCAATTGAGTTGTAACATAGACCCTAGTCTAATAAATCTGTCTTATATCAACTGGTCACAATAATGCCGCAGATGAGAAGATACTTTCCCTGTATTTAAAGAACAATGTTTCTTGAATACTTATACATGCGCCATCAACGTATACGCTTTACTTTAGCAGAACAATTTAACTCCCTTACTTCCCTTGCTTGATAGCCACCTTGTGGCTCAGCGGTAAGACTGAAATCCTATAACGCTAAGAACCGAGTATATACATATATATATATACACACGATGAGCTAAAACAATAAGCTGAAAGAATTATCTCAGCAAGAACACACGTACAAACGAAATAAAGGACAAATATCAAATGGTATCATACTCTGGTACCCGATAAATATAAATATATACACATATGCACATGTACTCGACTGTGTATTTAAAGGTTTTTTTATGTGAAATGCACTCTTGATATGATAATCCTGAAAAGCGTGAAATTACAAATGAACTGCTTGTGAAGTGTTTGTGCATCGACCAAATAAAGCGAAGTGGTAACGAAAACACGAAACGCTTTGTATTACATTCATGGATATTGGCCCTGATAAGGATTGGTTTGGTTTGTTACGAATTTCGCGCAAAGCTACACGAGGGCTATCTAGTGTAAGACTAGAGGGAAGGCAGTTAGTCATCACTATCCACCGCCAACTCATGGGCTACTCTTTTACCAACGTATAGTGGGAGATTGATCGTAACATTATAACGTCCCCACGACTGAAAGGGCGAGCATGTTTGGTGTGACGGGGATTCGAAGCCGCGACCCTCATATTACGAGTCGAGCGCCCTAACCGCCTGGCCATGCTGGACCCCCTGATAGGGAAGTGTTGAATAATGAATCTTCTAGCCCTGTTTACTTGAATTTCTAAATATCATTTTACAGAATATTTCAAACACAATAGAAAAGGGAGGAAGGGGTTTGGATTGTACCTGATCCTCCCAGGTCTACAAAAACCTAAAGCCTGATGCCGAAATGAGCGAGTTTGACAAGCTGTATTGTGAATCTGAGGGTCCATGTTTCGAGTTCCGCAAAGCTTCGCACGGAACTTTGGGGCCGTGATTGCGTTATAAAAGTGACACTAATTCCAGTGTTCGGTCAGACAAGCGTAGCCCCCAAATTGGTTTTAGTTGTTGTTACTAACTGCCGTCCCTATAGTGCACCAGTTCAAAAATTAAGGATGGCCAAGGCGTATAATTCTGTTCCAGCTTTGTGAAAATATCCAAAGCAAACAAACAACAAGTCCTACGTACAAGTTAACGCCTACTGTAGTAAGTAAACAACAAGTTCTATATACAAGTTAACGCCTACTGTAGTAAGTAAACAACAAGTTCTATATACAAGTTAATGCCTACTGTAGTAAGTAAACAACGAGTTCTATATACAAGTTAACGCCTACTATGGTAATTAAACAACGAGTCCTATGTACAAGTTAACGCCTACTATAATAAGTGAACAACAAGTTCTATATACAAGTTAACGCCTACTATGGTAATTAAACAACGAGTCCTATATACAAGTTAACGCCTACTATAATAAGTAAACAACGAGTTCTATATACAAGTTAACGCCTACTATAATAAGTAAACAACGAGTTCTATATACAAGTTAACGCCTACTGTAGTAAATAAACAACGAGTCCTATATACAAGTTAACGCCTACTATGGTAAGTACATATAGTAGGCGTTAACTTGTATATAGAACTCGTTGGTAAGTAAACAACAAGTTATACATACAAGTTAACACCTACTATGGTAAGTAAACAAAATGTTCTATATATAAGTAAACGCCTACTAGGGTAAGTAAACAACAAGTTATATATTCAAGTTAATGCCTACTGTAGTAAGTAAACAACGAGTTCTATATACAAGTTAACGCCTACTGTAGTAAATAAACAACGAGTTCTATATACAAGTTAACGCCTACTGTAGTAAGTAAACAACGAGTTCTATATACAAGTTAACGCCTACTATGGTAAGTAAATAACAAGTTCTATATACAGGTTAACGCCTACTATGGTAAGTAAACAACAAGTTCTATATACAAGTTAACCCCTACTGTAGTAAGTAAACAACAAGTTCTATATACAAGTTAACGCCTACTATGGTAAATAAACAACAAGTTATATATT